ACACACACACACACAGTTGACTAGTTCACACTCCACAATCTTTAGCCTGATATTCGAGTCACTGATAATATCCAGAAGTCACTGTCAAAAGCTCCACATGGGAGTGAGATCTACGTTCAATGCACAGTCACACATCCTCAACAAACGTCGAAGGAGGCACAACAATCACATGACAGTGTGAAATATGAACTACACAGCAATCCAAAGTCCTGCTGTGTGAACTTGGCATTACTTGGTTCCTAAATGTTTCAGACATATTTGCTCCTATTGTATTGTACATTGTATCGTTCAGTATATTATGCTTCACCCTTTTCCTTTGTTTAACCTGCAGCACCGTCTGTGTGGGTGTGTGTTTTTGTGTTATTTCAGGAAAGTGGTTCGTGAGCACAGGAAAAGACAATCTGTTGAATGCATGGAGGACACCATATGGAGCTAGTATTTTCCAGGTGAGTTCGCAGTTCAATGCTCAGAAGATGTTTACGATATGTGTGTGTGTGTGTGTGTGTGTGTGTGCGTGTATATGTGTGTATATGTATAATACATACTGGTATGTATAAATATACATGTGTGTAGTTGGGTCTGCAGTTAACTGCTTTTCAGTGTAGCTGACGCTGTTGAAGTGATCTTGGCTTTGTGTCATCTACACAAATACACACACACAGTCGCACTTACACACACACACACTTAACCCTCGAGGCGTAAGATAGCAAAAGATGAGTGGGTTCACAGGGATAAAGGTTACGATAAACATTATTGTTTTTTATTCTCGATTTGTTGATCCAAGGTGACTGGCAGAGGTTTATCAGAGAAGGCAAACTGCCACACACACACACACACACACACACACACACACACATTTACACCCACACACACACAATTCAATAGGTCTGTTTGAGGAAATGTTGAAATATGAATATACAGGGATGCTGTATTTTTAGCTGAGCCAATTCATCTGGGTGTGAATGAAACTGGCGAAGGGAGATGAAGAGTGTGTGTGCATGTTTGTTTGTGTTTGGGCTCATTTTCATGTCCTGGTGGAACTGAATCCATGGGGACTTGTGTCAGAAATTTAGTTCCCCACAGGTACCGGATGCATTTTGTGAGTTAAGACCTGGTTTTATGGTTCTGCATTTATTTGTGGTGGTTAGGGTAAGGGGCTAGGGAATCATGTCAATGAGTGTCCCCACAGAGAACGTGTGTGTTTGTGTGTGTGTGTGTGTGTGTGTGCAGCAGGGTTGGCGGCTCCTTTCTGTCTCTGTGGACCTGAAGGAGAATGCTTTCTATCTGCTTTGTTATTCTGATGCCAAACGTTTCTTGTGCCAAACAGCTCCCTCCTGTCATTGTGTTGTACAGAGCTGCTCTCTCTCCTCTTCCCCCTCTTTCTGGTTCATCACCGTTCTTTCCATTCTCTCTCTCGCCCTCTGCTCCGTCTTCACTCATATTTTTTCTTTTTCCCGCTTTGTCTCCGCCTTCCTGTTGCTTCTGTGCTCACTTATATCATCTCTCTGTACCTCTACCCTCTCTTTCTTTGTCCTTGCCTTTACGTTTTTCCCCGTTCTCTTTATCCAACCCCCAAACTTCACTTTCTCTTCAACCGCCTTGTCTTCTTCTCTCTATTATCTATTTCTTATCAAATGAGCTTTATGTCAACTTTACATTATTGGCCTAGCTACACATTACTGAATACGAAATCATGTATTTATATTAGAAGCAAAGCATCACAAGAGGACAAATCTCCTTAACAGTACAAATACTGCAGACACATATAGATGAAAACAGTGGAACAAGGGAGTGTCTCTCCTGAGTGTTCACTTTGTTTGAGTCTGATTTTGCAGCCAAGAGTTTTGCTGATTTTCCATAATGCATTAATTGGTTGACTCATTTGTATGAAGGGGGGGGTCTTGATTTGCTCTGTGAGGCTGCTGTTGTATTAGATTTGTTGTTGTAAGTTAATCGATTCGTGAAAATAGTTAAAAAGAGCAGCTCTTTCTAAGTTTGCCATGTACAGTGTCTGACTAATAGACTGTAAATAGATGGGTGATGAATCTCATAACTACATTTAGCTGATTCTGAACCTTTACTCTCCATCCAAACTCATCCTTTGGCTTGTCTGTGCGTCCCTCTTTCTGCTTACTTAGTATAATATTATGGATCCTGTGTGAAATGGCCCCTCACCGGTGGCTGGATGATTGACAGCCCTGCTGTGCCTGTAGCACAAAGGCAGGGAGGGGATGCGAGATAGGGGAAGAGGAGTTTAGAGAGGAGGAGGAGTAGACATGAGAGAGGGGGGGACAGTGAAAGCAAAGGAGGAAGACAAGGAGGAGGAGAGTCTGGGAATGGAGGAAGGAAGATAAATGATGATAGAGCAGTGAGAGGAAGAGGAGAAGGAGGAGGAGGAGGAGGAGGAGGAGGAGGAGAGGATCATCTAACGCCAGGTGCCCGGATCTGGCTTCCAGACAGACGCAGGGAAAAAAGAGGGAAGATTGTGCATTTTGCTTGTTCATGTAGACCATCAGTCTTGTGCTGCTACTGATGCTTAAACCTACAGTTAATGAGGCTGCATCTCTCCAGAGGGAGGGAGGGAGGGAGGGATGAAAGAAGAGAGGAAGAGCCTCACACTGAAGCAGATGAATGAGTCAGCGTCCTGGAGCTGTGGAGTTGTCTGTTTGGAAATAATTGCCGACTGTTTTGAAATGCAAATATGTCTTGAATGATTGAGTATTAAGTGATGACTCATATCTTTTCTAACATCTCTCTCTGTGTTTTTTCCTCTCCGTATGTCTCCATCCATCTATCATCACATCTCTCTCTCTCTCTCTCTCTGTCTCTGTCTCTCTCTTTCTCTCTCTCTCTCGGGTTTGTGCCCATGTCTCTCATACACCCCCAGTCCAAGGAGTCCTCATCTGTGCTGAGCTGTGACGTTTCCCCGGACGACAAGTACATAGTGACAGGCTCTGGCGACAAGAAGGCCACGGTGTACGAGGTGGTGTACTGAGGGATGGGACGAGATGGGGAGGAGCAGGACGGAGACTTTGGGGGGGTGATTGAGAAGATGCACCCAGTTGCCAACTGCTCCAAATCCTCAAAACATCATCATCGACAGCAACTCCGTCTCAGTCCTCTTGAGTCCTTCTGACCCTCACCCCTAATACATCTCCCCTCTCCCCCTTTTTGCTGTGATATAAGCTACTGTGGAAGCTCCTTAATGCCCCCTCCCCTGTTCCACCTTCCACTTTGAGCCCAAGGATGATGCATGATAGCGTACAGAGAGAGAGAGGAGAAACAGCGAGATAAGAAGGACAATGGAAAAGGGCAGTGGAGCATAAAGATAAGGTCGGGAGGAGAAAGGAAGGAAAGATGAGGAGAAAGCGAGAGTGCGGAAGGAAGAGAAATAAAAGGGAGGAAGAGGAGGACAAAAAAAAGGAGGAGGAGGGAGGGAGGCAGGCTAATTAGGGCTGTTTCCAGATTAAGAGCTCAGTGGAAGGGAGGCCCCCAGAGGAGGCGTGGAGCGGCACTGTGGGAGCGCCAGCCAGGAGCACTGATACCACACAATCGATTCATTAGCCAGACAGTGAAAGCCTTAATGAGGCTGACGCCGCAGCTCGCTCTCTGCAGCGAGAGGTGTCAGGAGCTGGGGAATGATGACGCTCTGAGATGGAGGGGGCCGCTTCAGATATCCACATACATGAAACATAGACCGTGCTCGCAATACACACACACACACACACACTTGGGTACACCCCCTTGAGGTAATCGTAGGAAGAGAGAAACACACACAACACACAGAGCACCCAATTAAACATTCATCGCCGCACTCCCCATCTCACTGCTTAATATCTATTTTATTTCTGCCTGACAAAGGCAGCGTCTAATGAGCAGCCGAGTCAATGGGATCCTCCCGGGGCCCCGAGACACAAACAGAGAACATCAGCCGAGCTGTTCCCTCTAATTCCTCCGGATTGTTCTCCTGACACCGGGCACCGCTCTCACTCTCATTACAGGCACTGTCAGCCGGATGACGTAGCACCGCACTGCAACTTCACTGTAAGGCAAACAAGAGGGCAAATTAACACCACCCTACCACGCTGTCATCAGCAGCCAATTTCACAGCGACTAATCCGACTCCTTTCAAACCTCATGCAACACGTGTCTGTTTTTATTCACAGATGAGATCACATGTTTAGTGGAGCTGTTATTTGCATCACTGCCTGTCTGATAATGAGCCAGTGTTCAAAGTGCTCTGGCCAAATCTTTGATAAGCTATTAATCGATATTAGTTGAAATGCTCAACACCTTAAAGGAAAAGTTTTGTTAAATATTCTTCTTGGCTTTCTTCCTGATTTTTAGATGAGTAGACTGATACCACTGTCATGTATGTATGCAAAGTATGAAGCCACTGCTAGCAGTCTGCTCTCTTAGCTTAGCATAAGGACTGAGAAACAGGTAGCTTAGTGCTAACTGAGCCAACAACAAATTCCAGCACATCAATGACTAAAACTAAAACAAATACTAAAGTGTAAATTTTACAAATCACCAACTATTTTTTGGTCAACCCCAGTTGCCTGGCAACCACATAAATGGCCCTAACCACAGACTGTAAATAAAGATGGACTACACGTCTCCATTTCCTCAAAGATTTAGCAGAAATATCCCAGATAAGGGTAGCGCCATCTTGTACTTGTAAAGTAGCGAGATATGTATGCACTTGACCAATCATGTTTCAGGTGTCAATTATGATGTTGTACCCTGATTTTATAACATAAAATACCAAAATAAAAACCAAATAATCAGTAAAAGCGAGTGCTTGTACTGATTCTCCTGTGTGATAAGAACCACCTAAAATGACAGAAATCCTCTTTAAACCATTATTTGAGTTTGGTCCATGCCCCACAAGCTAACATGGAGGAGGCAGGGTATATTACCTATACAGCAGCCAGCCACAAGGGGGCGAACAGGAGGATTTGGCTTCACATTTGGGGAGCTGTCATGTTGTCCATCTTACTTATATCATGTCTCAATCTGTGAGTTTTAGAGGTGATGCTAGGAGGATTTTTTATTTTTACTTTTGGATGGAGCCTCTTCCAATCTGTGTGCTGAGGTACGTTAGCTGTTGGCTTCATACTTCCAGATATGAGAGTGGACTCAGTCATCTCATCTTACTCGACACAACAAAGCAAATGAACATATTTCCCAAAGCGCCACTTTTTTTCCCTAAACCTTTTTTTTATTTTGAATGGTCCTTGTATCAAACTCTAAACTGGCGGGCAAACAGAATATCAGAGCTCTGTTTCTGTAGAACATGTGTCACCAGTGTGCAGACTAAAAAAAAGGCACTTTTCAAGCTTTTTGTATCACTCATTTAATTTCAGTATTTTTTATGAATAGCTCATCTTATGTAATGATTTGTTTATGTACTAGGGGGTTGCCTATGACTGCGTTTGGGTTCGGGGGAAGCAAACAGAGAGGGACACGCTCACACATGGAAACATATGACAAAAAAAATGTTTCTTTCTGTTTCTTTTTTTTTTTTAATCAGTGTATTTTTATCCTTGGTGATGTGCCAGACAGAGGATTTACAACATCAGCAAACCCATGTGAAGAGAAAAAAAATAAGATCCTCCATTTTGGAGAAATGTTCCTCTGTCTACTGTTTGTTGTTTTTGTTTTATTACACCTTTTTTCAGAAGTGGTAGTGAACGTACTGTTTCAGTCCTAACTGTGTGATTATACAACATTTCTGTTGAGTCTGGTCATTGGCTACGACGACTCAGAATTAGCCATCAATGAGGTCCAACTTGTTTCTGCATGCTTGTTGCACTACAAGTCCACCTCTGCTGATAGAACCAGATCCATCTGATTTTATTACACAGGTACAGTGAATGGTCTCATATCCTCTGTTTTACAGAAGGAGGAATCGTTATCTTACATCTCAGTATGCAATTTAGTGAAGCTGTAAAAAGATTTTGGCGAGACTTGTCCGTGTCCCTCGATAACGCAGGATATAATCACGAGGGACTTCTGCTTTACCAGCAAGGAGTAGAGATCATCTGTACAGTTTAACACCTCCGCCTGTCTCTTTCCCGTCCTGTCAGCCACAGGCAAGACCTCAACAACTCTCATACACAAGCTTGTATACTACTCAGAATGATGCTGTATAATGGCTATGCATTTGGTGGTATAGCGTGAATATTTTGGACATTGTATTTGATACTCTTCTTTAACCGTCACTCATTTCTCTCTCTACCTGCCTCTGCTTTCTGTTCCAACTGATAAAATATCACATTAAGTTTCTCTTCTTTTTTTAATGCACTGTGTCATCCCTCCTGATACATTTCCTTATGTGCTGTACAAGAAAAAACTATGTGTGAAAAATAAACCAAACTTGTGTTCATCCTTTCAGGCGTCTCCTGCATTGATCTTTTCAGTCCAGAAGACATCAGTTGGTCCATCGCTTTGATTCAATGACTTGCTATAACTTACAGCAATTTAATTGTGAACAGTGTCACCTGATCAGTTTTGAAACACTGGGTATCTTACATTAATTCGCAGAAACAAAAAAGTTGCAAATTAGTGATCAGCACAGGTTTTTATTGGGTCTTAAAGAGGACTTCTTGTATTTTTCAACCTGAGACATGTGTTATGTTGCCAGACTCTTAGACAAGACCTTAAATAATAATTTGAGCCTTTTATTGTTGAATAAAGCACTTTTAGTGGACATTTTGTGGAGTGTCGCAGTTGCCCCATAAGATTGCACTGTAGCCACTGCAACCAAAACCAGTGTAATGGAAAACTTATGAACTTTGCTTGAACTCTTCCCTATGTCCGATCAATGCTCCTGTGTTGTGTTCAACAATAACTCACAAAGAAACACAATTATGCTCGCATAAGAGGAACTGTCTGGCGTACGTGCAGACGGACGATTAGAAACTAGACAGACACTTTTTACATTTTTACCCTTAACTATCCAATGCCATGACTGTTGCTATGCACTTGGCAGATGTAACCTCAGAGTTCATGTCCTTTCTTGATGATGCTCTTGACCCTGATATTTGCAGTAGCAAACTTCTTCTTTCATGCAGAAGTAAGAGCAGACAACTTCCTTTGTTAACCAGATTACAGATGGCTTCAGTTTTACATGCTATTACTCAGAAACCGTTGTCTCTTATGTTTCCTGTTTACCTGACTGTATAAAACCTTCTTCTTTCCCTATTCGGGGTTGTTCCACTCTGAGCATTCATGCTGAGAGTGAAACCCAGAGCCCTATTAAAGACTAAAAGATAATTCCGGTCTGAGAAACTCTTTATTTCACATCTCAAGATAAATTTCCACCACACCAGCTCAAGGTAATTTCTTCATGTTTGGTAGAAAAGATTCAGTTGGACTCAAAGACGAAGTGATTTGATTTTGGCAGTCAAGGGACCTCCAGGGAATCCTTTTATATTTGGAGAAAAACTTCACTTGGAAACAAAGATGGAACTAATTTGATTTTAGGCCTTTGTGACCTCACAAAACATGTTTTTGCCTCGAGAGACTTCTCTCAAATTTGGTACAAACATTCATTTAGACTCATGGAGTAACTGATTGAACATGATATCTCAATTCTGCCTCTATGGAAGTTCTTCCAATTTTTTTTAGTCTTCACTTGGAGTCAAAGATTAATTGATTAGATTTCAGTGGTCAAAGGTCAAAAGTCAATTTGTTTTAAAGGAGCCTTAATTATTTATTACCCACAAAAATGATTTCCATTAGACTGAAGTGCATTTTTCCCATAGTTCTCTTCTCCCTCAGTTAAAGCTTCTTGTCACAGCCAAACAGTCACCACTACACCCATCATTATTAAAGTAGTTCCTCTTTGGTATAACCATCCACTTTATAGCCTGTTATTATAATTTAAACAAATATTCAACAAATGGTTTTGATCCTTTTCAACAAAAGACAAACACAATAACTGATGACGCTCCACACCACATCCTCTTGTCTCAAAGCAAATCCAAGTCACAGCTCCTCATTTGCCTTTACAGAACTTTATTTACACGTCCATATATAGCAAGGTTCAAGGTTCATCATGATGCAGTTGTGAAAATCCCAGTCTGCCTATATGTGCCCTAACAAATACAATAGAAAATCACATTTAATGTTGAGTGTTAAAGATGAAGATTGCGTAGCAGAGGCCACGTCACCGACACTGGAGAGGGGAACACTTGTTGCGAGATGTTTGAACCGAATTCAGCTTTCTGTCCTCCGGGTCGTGAGTTTTTTTTTTTCTTTTTGTTCCGGGCTGGTTTCCTTAAAAAACATCCCCAGATCCTGATCTTTGTTCTTTAGTGAAGAGAAAAACAAACATCAACAGGAACAAAAACAAACTGAGTCTCAGGACGCTGTAGAGGAAACCGAGCCGTATTCTGTCATGTATGTTCTGGAGATGATACAATCATGTTGCTGCTAAAAACTTAACCAGGAGAAGAAGAAAAAAAAGCTGGAACCTCACAGCAAACCATCTGCCACACATCTGCTGCCCCGAGGACCAGGCCAGGCCAAGCGCACCCAGCCAGGGACGTTTTTTAATTCTTATTTTTATTTATTTTTTTTTAAACAGCAGAATACGGACTGTATTTTTTATGACAAGTTTCCAGCCCTCCTTGAACCCTCCCCACACTTCATTCCCGTGTGTCTTTTTCCTCATGGTGCCGTCCAACAGTTTTGCGAAAAATTCAAAGGCTAAAAAAATAAGTTTTGCTAATTTCTTGTTTACTACAGAGGTTTTATTTTGTTAAAAAAAGGGAGAAAAAAAGGAACAAAACAAGAAGTTCTTTGGAGGAATCCAACATTTGCGCAGCTATAGACTAACCAGCGTTCTCAGAGCATTAAAAACAAAGTTCAGAGTTTGTTTGTCTTTTTTCCAGAGATGTGACTTTGTGCCCCCTCGCTCCTCTCTCTCATTTCTTTCACAAACGTAAACAAAACAACAAAGTACGAGTTGAGTGTCTCTTGTTTTCCATGCCACCGACGCTCTGTACAGTCATTGGTGCAGGAGGGAGATTTGGCTCCGCCCCCCAATTATTAGTTTTAATTCTTCAGCCAATCCGTGTTCAGTAGATTACTTCGTAGACTGTCGCCTTCTTGTCCCCGGAGCCGGTGACGATAAACTGGTCATCGGGGGAGATGTCGCAGCTGAGAACCGACGAAGACTCCTTAGACTGAACATGGAGACAGAGGAAGAAACAAACAGTGACACACATGCAACAAAAGAAACATCAATATCGTTACTTCAAAGCTTCTAGTCTACAGACCCTAAAAGTCATATTTCATTTGGACAAAAGGTGTTTACAGAAATGTGTGAATAAATGTGTGCTCGATGACGTACCTGGAATATGCTGGATCCGTAAGGTGTCCGCCATGCATTCAGCAGGTTATCTTTGCCTGTGCTCACGAACCATTTACCTACAGGATGAAACACATACAGCCATCAACAGATAAAGCCTCTGGGGAGGAGAGATATGGACGAGCCAGAGAGGGAGAGCTGCTCTTGTAAAAGAATAGAAGAGGTGAAAAGAAGCTGTTTCTGAATAATGAAAAGGGCTGAAGATTTGTTCTGCTTCTCTGTGATTAAATACCCTCAGGTAGTGTGATGTAACCAAACCATCAATCTCTTCCATGTGTACACGAGGTGAGTGTGTGCGAGTGTGTGTTTGTGTGTGTGTGTGTCCGTACCGCAGTAGGCAAACTTGAGGGAGAGGACGCAGCTCTCATGGAGGTGCAGCTGGTACTTGTCAGGTTTGGAGACGTGCAGGACTTCCACGTTACTGCTCTCCATTCCCACAGCCAGCCACTCGCCTGTCGGACAGTAGCCCAGAGAGAAGATCTGCAGATGCAGGAAAGGAAGGAAGGAAACAGGAAAGCGAAGGGAGAAAAAAAGGTGGAGACCAGTGACGTATTAATGATCATCAACAACATGTCAGCCTATTAGTCTGGACTGAAGCGCCCGAGTGTGTGTGTGTGTGTGTGTGTGTGTGTGTGTGTGTGTGTGTG